AGTCAGAAAAGGGCTTCTGGGTTATATTGTGGTTGTATATATGTATGTATGAATGTACATACATATGTATATGTGCTTGTATATATTAGTGAGCATTAAATCTAGGACCTTGCACATATACACACTTGGGTACAAAGCTACACCTTCAGCTCTATTTTTAATTTCTATAGGAACCTTCACAGTGCTTTGCAACATTTATAAAAGAAGATGTTTTTCATATTAGTTTTTTGTTGTTGTTGCTTTATTTTTTGGTGCTGGTCCTGAGGCTTGAACTCAGAGCCTAGGTTACTGTCCCTGAGCTTTTCAGACGAAGGCTAGAACTCTATCAATTGAGCTATATTTCCATTTCTGGCTCTTTGGTACTTAACTGGATATAAGAATCTCCTGGGGGCTAGGAAGGTAGCTTAGAATATAATATTCTATATTAAATGAAATGGGAGAAAATTATTCACTTGCAGACAATGAGAATTACCAGTCTGTTGGTTAAATGTTGAATCACAGTACTTCTTCCAATGCAAATAGTACTAACTCAAATTAACATGGATTTCATATTTTTTAGTTTCTTATGAAATTTAAAAAAAAAAAAAAAAAGAGGGCTGGGAAGGTGGCTTAGTGGTAGAGTGCTTGCCTTGCATGCATGAGGCCCTGGGTTCGATTCCTCAGCATTACATACGCAGAAAAAGCCTCAAATGATAGAGCACTAGCCTTGGACTGAAGAGCTCAGGGACAGTGCCCAAGCCCAGAGTTCAGGCCCCACAACCAATAGGGGAAAAAAAGGAATCTCATGGACTTCCTTGCCCAGGCTAGCTTTAAACCTTGATCCTCAGATCTAAGCCTCCTGAGTAGTTAGGATTACAGATATGAGCCACCTGTGCTTAGATCATTATAGCTATTTTATATTATCCTAGGCAGTTGTTCTAATTCCATCACATCTGTCATTTGCCAATATATTCCTGACCATGTTTTGCTTGTTTTTATACTGAATTCTTTTTTATTGTTCAAAAGTTCACCATCTCCTCAAGAGTAAAGCATGCCTAAGAATAGATATTCCAGGTGTGTTGTTGAAAATGAATTCCAGTGCATGATACCGATAATTCCAGCACTTAGGAGGTTGAGAAAGAAGGATCAGGTGTTTGAAGCAAGCCTGATTACTTAGGAAGTCCCTCTACCAAAACAATAAAAATCGCTGCTTCCCGGTTGGAGCCATGATGGTGGTAAATTTAAGCTCCATCAACACCATCATGTTGTTTGATGTTAGCATTGGTGGTCAGGAGGTTGGACACATGAAGATTGAGCTGTTTGCAGATGTTGTGCCTAAGACAACCGAGAACTTCAGGCAGTTCTGCACTGAAGAATTCAGAAAAGATGGGGTTCCAATAGGATACAAAAGAAGTACTTTCAACACGGTCATAAAGGGTTTCCTAATTCAGGGTGGAAATTTTGTTAATGGAGATGGTACAGGAGTTGCCAGCATTTACTGGGGGCCATTTGCAGATGAAAATTTTACATTTAAACTTAGGCTCCAGGCCTACTTTCTGTGGCAAACAGTGGTCCCAGTACAAATGGCAGTCAGTTCTTTTTTTTTTTGTGGGTCCGGTCGTGGGGCCTGAACTCTGGGCCTGAGCGCTGTCCTTCAGCTCTTCAGCTTAAGGCTAGTGCTCTACCACTAGAGCCACAGCGCCACTTCCGGCTTTTTTCTTTTTGCTTATGTGGTGCTGAGGAATTGAACCCAGGGCCTCAGGCATGCAAGGCAAGCGCTCTACCACTGAGCCAACTTCCCAGCCCCAAGCTGCGGTCAGTTCTTTATCTCCTGCTATAACTGTGATTGGCTGGATAGGAAGCATGTAGTGTTTTGGCAAAATCATTGATGGACTTCTAGTGATGAGAAAGATGGAGAATGTTCCCATAGGCCCCAACAAGAAGCCCAAGTTGCCTGTGGTAATAATCTTAGTGTGGGGAGATGTAGTCCAGATGAAGACTGATTCAGGCCTTCCCTTGCCTGGCTCTTGGTTTTGCTTCCCCACCTGCTACTGCTTCATTTGATAAAGAGACCAGGGAAGTGCACAGACTAAAACCAAGATTATCTGTTTAAAATTTCAGTAGTAAATAAAGGATTAAAGAAACAACAAAAATCAACCGAGAGCTGGACTCCAGTAGCTGATAACCCTCGCTAATCAGGAGGCTGAGATCTGAGAATCATAGTTTGAAGTCAGACCTGGCAAAGTCCGTGAGACTCTTATCTTCAATTAACCAAAAAAAGCCAGAAGTGGAGAGGTAGAGTGACAGCCTTGAACAAAAAAGTCAAGTAAGAGTTTGAGACCCAGTTGTAGTACACACACACACACACACACACACACATCAAAACAAAACAAAAAGTAAGAAAGAGTACTTCTCAAGCAGTCCTTCACTCCTTTTCTGGGTGTCCTTTGAGCCTTGGTGAAAAACAAATGCAGCTGTGTGCTTGTCTGAAGATGAAGTCACTTTTCATCCTTACACAGTGGTAGTTGATGGTTCCAGTGAGACCCACAATTGCATTTTTGTCTATTTGTTCCAGATAACCCTACAAATAAATTAAAACCCTGAGTCTGGAAATATTATTTTGGTTCTACGAAAATAAGAAAGCAGGTTTTCAATTTTTTTTGCTACAAATGCTGATACAGAATGTACACTCAGTGGATTGCATTTTTAAATAACTGAATCGGAAAATATCCAAACCTTAATAGTTAAATTACTTGTGCAATGGTATCAAATATATATATATACATATACACATATATATATACATACATATTGTAAATGAAAGTTATATATGATGGTCTCTGCCAATAACCCTAGGGTTTCAGGAGACTGAGATCTGAGGATCAAGGTTCACAGTTCAGAGCCAGCCAAGGCAGTCAAATCCTTGAGACTCTTATCTCCAGCAAAAAGCCAGAAGTGGAGGTGTGGCTCAAGGCATGAAAGAGTGAGAGCAGGAGACCCCAAATCCAAACCTGCAAAAAAGAAAAAGAATGAAAAGAAGGAAGCAGAAGAAAGAAGGAAGGAAAAAGAAAGAGGAAAAGAAATCAGTTGTTATCCAGGTTGAGTGATAAGTCAATACAATGAGACTTGGTAAAAGTTTCAAGTACAACTTCTCCTAGAGGATGACAAAAGAAAGTGCCAAGAGATGAAAGGGCCTCAAGAAAGAGCCAGATTGGAGGAGTGCACTATTACCTTATGAGATCTGCACGTATAAACTAATAACTTCAGCTTCAGCTGTCAAATAATATGTGCTATTTCCACGTCTTCTGCCTTGTTTTTCATTTTTTTGTTTTGTTTTGTTTTGTCGTGGGGCCTGAACTCTGGGCCTGGGCGCTGTCCCTGCGCTCTTCAGTTCAAGGCTAGCGCTCTACTGCTTGAGCCACAGCGCCACGTCCGGTTTTCTAGTGGTTTATTGGAGATGAGTTTCACGGAATTTTCTGCCCGGGCTGGCTTTGAACGGCAAAACTCAGATCTCAGCCACCTGAGTAGCTAGGATTACAGGCATGAGCCACCGACGCCCGGCTCCTTCTGCCTTGTTTTGCAACCCATCTCACTGATTTGGTTCTTTAAGCACATCCTCTTTATCACATGTAGGTTCTTGTGAGTTTTCTTCTGTAGTGTGGGGCAGTTGACCACTCTTGGGGTTCCATCATACTTTGTTGGTATATTTGATTATAAACAGATGCTCAGCATTAATATTGTCTTATCCAAATGGAGGGGAGATAACATTTCAAAATGGGAACCTTCACTGGATCTCAAGCCTGTCCTCCAGTTGCTCTGTATTCCAGCTCAAAACAGTATGCCCTACCTGGCATTTCATCCCCACTTTCCTATTTCCCAAGGGGGGAAGAAGCCAAGTTCAGGTCCTTTCCAGAAGTAGATGTTGATTCCTCTGTCAGCCTGGGTAGCCGAAGTTGAACTATCACAATAGAAAGCTCCAAGCACTGAAAAACTCCTGTCTATTAATTTTAAAAGAAGTCTATCTCGTGAGCTGGGATTGTAGCTTAGTGGTAGAGTTCTTGTCTAGCATATACAAGGCCTTATTTGTCATCTGCACACACATCTGTAACACCTAACTTGAAGAACTATTTTGTCAAGACCTATGTCAGTTAACCTCAGAAAAGATATCCTATTTAGGAAAAAATGAGTTCATTTCGTTTGCACGAGAAACAAAATCTGCATCGTAAAATCCGTAAGATCGTTAGCATTTTGTGATCGTTTATGGAGCAGCGCACGGGAGAACCTTCCCCGGCTCAAGCATACTCCATCATCCACCGCCCAGGGGGCCAGAACTAAGGTAAAGAACCTACCACGTGGTGCTGTGACTCCGCCCAGCCCATAGGGGGCGCGCGCGGCCGCGCCCTTTCCGCCAACTCCGAGTGTTCCCCTGCTCGGCCTTGCCCGGCTGCCTTGGCAGCGCGCGGGGACAGTTCCTCTTCCGGGACGCGAAGGGCCCGGATATGAGCGGACTACATAAGCGCCGCTCGGGCCTGCAGCCCTTCTTTCCGCGGGAGACGCGACTGTGCGCGTGGAGGTGTGCCCTCGCCGCTCCTGCTCCTGACTCACCGCTGTTCGCTCTCGCCGAGGAACAAGTCGGTCAGGAAGCCGCGCCTCAGCCATGGTGAGGCCGGGGACGGGGCGCGCGGCGGCGCCCGGGGCGGAGGCTGGGGTCGGGGAGGCGCGGGGCGTCCGGGCCCGGGGCAGGCCCGCCCCGATGGCGGGCGCCGGCCAGGGGCCGACGGAGCCTCGTGCATTGCTGTGTTCTTGATTCCCCCTTGCCTGCGCGTCAACAGGCTTTTAAAGACACCGGGAAGACGCCTGTGGAGCCCGAGGTGGCGATTCACCGGATTCGCATCACCCTCACCAGCCGCAACGTGAAGTCGCTGGAGAAGGGTCAGTCCTGTGGCAGTCACGTGGCAGGCGGGGGAACACTCTAGACTGGCGCTCACCGGGTCGTAGGCACCCAGCCCCCAGTTAGTAGCTGGCGATGAGGAGACGCCTACCGTACTGATCTACGGTGATGGTTCTATACGCTATTCTGAGCCGGCCGGCGGCGGCCTAAACCTGCGGGGAGTGATTGTGAGCGAACTAATGGGTGCCTCTGCTCCCCCCCCCGTAGTATGTGCTGACCTGATCCGAGGCGCCAAGGAGAAGAATCTCAAAGTGAAAGGACCGGTGCGCATGCCTACCAAGGTAGGTGAGGTCAGGGAGACCGACCTAGGCACTGCATCTTGTGAGTGCCCGCCGCCAGGGATTTGGCTGATCGTATAAAAGTAGTGACAGTGATGCACAGGTCAGCCGCACAGCCTCTCAGGGTGCCAATGGACTTGGATTGTAGATGACTGGTAATCTGAAGGCCTGTTCCGCGTAGAGGGAATAGTGCCAAGGGGAATCATTTGTCAAATGATAAAGCTACAAAGTAAATGAGCTTCTGGGTATCCTCTAAGGATAAGTATTAAACCATGGGCTTTGGTTTTCTGTTGCAGACTTTGAGAATCACTACAAGAAAAACACCTTGTGGTGAAGGTTCTAAGACATGGGATCGCTTCCAGATGAGGATCCACAAGCGACTCATTGACTTACACAGTCCTTCCGAGATTGTCAAGCAGATAACTTCCATCAGTATTGAGCCAGGAGTGGAGGTTGAGGTCACCATTGCAGATGCCTAAGTCAAACGTTTTTAATAAATTGACTTACTGATTGTTTAAGTTTCATTGACTTTTATTTACAATACAAACAGGTTTTAGAAATGCAAGTGGAGATTTGCTGAGTAAGTGCTAAGGAAATAAGAAGACATTAGCTTTGAACTTAAACTTGCCTAGTGTTCCAACATTTAGTGGCATAAGGTGGGTCATTAGTTTATTGTTCATTGTATATCCTTACAGGCTTAGGATTTTCCATTAAGAGAACATTTCCAGATGTTCTTTATGAAGGGACATAATTTTACAAGTCTTTTCAATAATTGAGGGAAAAGTACTGTCCTTTGATTTAGTAGGATTATGATAATAAGATAATACAACGTTTCTGTTTGGGGTTAGACCTCTTTCTCTGCACTGTTTTGTCTTCATTGTGGTTGAAGTGCAGATTTGAACTATGTAAAAAAGTTTTTGAAAGAACTAGCTTGGGAAACTGAAGTCTTCAATCGTAAGTACACCATTTTAAGTTGTATATGGCATAGACAGGTTATGTTCCCTTAATCCTATTGAAGGCATTTAGAAGCCAAGCCCTCGTGGCTACTACTACCTACTCAGGAAGCTGGGGATTGAGATTGAAAGCCAGCTGCCAGTGAAGTTCCTAAGACCCTTTATGGAGCTGTGGGTTAAGTGGGAAAGCACCAGCCTTGAGCGAAAAAGCTAAAGGACAGTATCCAAGTCCCTGAGTTCAAGTCCCAGTACCAGCATTCACATCAGATAAAGCGTTTAGAGCCAGTAATAGATCCCTCTATGTGTTAGGGTTAGCACACAGGGCATTTTCAATAACCACTGCAGCCACATTTCTAGGCCACTAGGTGCTTAGGAATATTGCTTAAGCATTCTGAGAATGGATTGAGGAAGAGTTATGAAAACGGACCAAAGAACAAATTTGTGGGGAAAACAAGATAATGAAGCGATTTTAACCCAAAACAAGCTTCCCTTCCCTACAGTTCAGGGAACTAAACCCATGGTCTTTCACAGGTTAGATATTCAATGAACTACATCCCTGAGTTTTTCACGAGTAGATTAAACTTTTAAATTGTCATTAATGGGACAGGGAATGGCTTAGAGAGTGCTGGCTAGCATGTATGAAGCCTGGGGTTCAATTCATCAGTACCACATAAAAAGCCGGAAGTGGCACTGGCTCAAGTACTAGAGTGCTAACCTTGAGCAAAAGAGGCTCACAGTTCCCAGGCCCTGAGTTCGAGCCCCACGACTGGCAAAAATTCAGCTAAAATAGCACTTAAGGGAACATCTCATTCAGTTACACTAAAGTTGAGGTCTATTTGGAAGTAAAATTCCTACTTAGTGGTAGTCCTGGGATTGGAACTTGGCCTGGATGTGGAGCATAATTAGAGATGAGTCTCACACTTTCTGCCCTAGCTAGCTTCAAATCATTGCAATTAGGGCTGGGAATGTGGCTCAGTGGTAGAGTGCCTAGCATGCATGAGACCCTGGGTTTGATTCCTCAAGACCACATAAACAGAAAAAGCCAGTGCTAGCCTGAGCAAAAAAACTCAGGCACAATGCCCAGGCCCTGAGTTCAAGCTCCAGCACTGGTAGGGAATGTGGCTCAATAGATTGTTTGACTAGCATGCATGAAGCCCTGGGTTTGATCTCAGTACCACATGAACAGAAAAAGCTAAAAGCGGTGCTGTGGCTCAAATGGTAGAGTGCTAGCCTTAAGCAAAAGAAACTCAGCGACAGTGCACAGGCCCTGAGTTCAAGCTCCAGGACTGGCAAAAATAAGAAAAAGTAAATTGAAACTACGGAGGCATGGCTTTCCTAATCTGTTAGACTTAATCATGCTAGTCTAACTAGAGAAACTATAAAAGCTGTTTTGTTTTGTCTTTAAATAGGATCTTAATCCTTTTTTTTTAGGGACAGTATAGTTTACTTCCATAGCAAATTAAAATCTCAGAACCATAGAACTAAATCTTACACATTTGATTCATAAGATTTACTTGTCTTTTTTTCACCTTACATGCTTTAGTTCTCTTCATTAACTTAAATCACGAGAGATATTGATAGTATATTTTTCAAAACTTGTAATATAACTAGTGTCTTATTTAGCAAAACCTGCCTTGCTGGGTACTTGTGGCTCTTACCTGTAATCCTAGCTACTCGGGAGCCTGAGAATTGAGATTTGAACCAGCTGGGGCAGGCATAATAGGTTCTTTTTTTTCCTTCAAAAAAAGTCACATGCAATGCAACATTTTGAAGTTTCATTTGTTTTTAGCACTAATTATAGTAGTGAAGTCTCTCAAAAATGCTTCCCAATATTTAAATTTGTTGTAGCAATTTCCAGAGGTTCTTAATGATTGTTTACCCTTAGGGGTGTGTGTACAGGCTCATATGCCAATTCATGTATATGCTCCTGGATGGAGCCTTGGACTTCATGCATATTAGACAATTGTTCTACTATGGAGCTACAACCAATTTAAATCAAAGGGACTCAAATTGATTACATATTTGTGGGTACAGTGGTAATTCCATGTATAAACATTTACCATTTCTTTATGTTGTGACCCTTTAAATTCTATTATAAGATAAATTGTACACTACCATTACCCTACTGTGCTGTAAAGCAATAGAATATATATATTTTTTTTTTTGGTTGGTCATGGGGCTTGAAGTCTGGGCTTGGGCATTGTCTCTGCGTTCTTCAGCTCAAGGTGAGTGCTCTACCGCTTCAGCCACAGCTCCACTTCCGGTTTTCTAGTGATTTATTGGAGATAAGAGTCTCACTGACTTTCCTGCCTGGGCTGGCTTTGAACCGTGATCCTCAGATCTCAACCTCCTGAGTAGCTAGGATTATAGGCATGAGCCACCGGCACCCAGCTAGAATATATTCTTCCTATGAAACTTTTGGTACAGGTTATCCAATCTATATCCTTTCCCTCTTCACCTCTAGCAACCACTATTCTCTGCTTTTATGAAGTCAACTTTCACATGAGTCTGTTTGGCTTGTTTAACATTGTTACCAAATTCCATCCATGTTGCTGCAAATGAGGTTTCATTGTTTTCTGTGGCTAAATACTTCACTGTGAATATATTTTATATTTTTTTATCATTGTACATCTCGGAGATGTTTTTGTATATCCATACATACAGATCTACTTCATTCTTTTTAGTGGATATTACATTGTGTGAATGTACCTTTTTGACCAGATACTTTTTCGTGGACCTAGAGATATTATCTGAGTATTTTGATATTCAAAACACCTTTCTTTCTTTTTTTTTTTTTGTGTGTCAATTCTGTGGTATGAATTCAGGGCTAAAATGCTATCCCTTTGGCTTTTTGGTTTAAAGCTAGCACTCTTCCACTTGAGTCACAGCTCTGCTTTGGCTTTTGGGGATTAAATGAAGAGAGTCTCATGGGCTTTCCAACCACTAGCATCCTCAGATCTTAGCTTCCTGAATAGCCAGAATTACAGGCATGAGCCAATGGAGCCTGGCAGTTAATATGCTTTTAATAATATCTTTTCTCACATCTGTAGGGAATACCCTGGAAGTTAAATTTCCAAATCTGATTGCATTGTAAGTGAGGCTATGTTTAAGTTGACAGTAGAAAAGTCATTGAAGAATAATGAAATTTCTAAGTGCATATTTATTAAGTTTCCTAGGGTATTGAAAGAAGAAATTTTCAGTCATGGAAGAGCATTTTTCACCCTAAGTAAAACTACCAAACTGATAATCCTCAAATGACTATATTCCCACCAATCAATACTAGGTATATAACAACATGCTTCTCATACACAAAAGTATCTCATGATTTTTTTTTTTAATCTCATCATTTTAAGTCCTGCCTTTCATTTATCACTTCTCTTTCAGAGGCTGCTGTTGATGTCATGACTTTCAGCAGGGGCTAGTGGCACATCTATAACCCTGCTACTCAGGAAGCTGAGATCTGAGGATTGCAGTTCAAAGCCATCCTGGGCAGGAAAGTCTGGGAGACTCAAGTCCAATAAACTAATCAGAAAAAGCTGGAAGTGATGCGGTAGCTCAAGTAGTAGAGAGCTAGCCTTGAATGCAAAGAGGCTCAGGAACAGTGGTCAGGCCTTGAGTTCAAGCCCCAGAACCAGCACCAAAAATTTAAAAAAATAAAAATAAATAAATTCATGGCTTTCCCTTACCATTCTATATTTCATTTAGTCCTTTATTACACATTCTGGCAGATTTCCTCACCTTCTTGTGTATCACTTCTGTTAATTTTCAATTTGATAATACTTTTTAAAATTCTCTTATGATAGAAAATTCCAAACATACAAGTAGAATGGTATGACCAGTCATAGCTTTAAAGATTCTCAGCTGATGCTGATCTTACTTCGTGTGACTCCACCCAGCCCCCTAAAC